TTTGACGTGCAACCTAATCCATACATCAGCCCGCTGAGTATCCCGCTGGATCTTCTCAGCGGGTCGCAATTCCAATCTGGCAGTAGATTCATTCGCGAAGCAGCTGTTCTTGAGTTGTTAGGTCTCCTTCGGAGGCGCGCGGGCAGCTGTTATCAAATCCCACACCTCCTGTTTGAGCCTTTGCTCGCCCGCCTGTCCTGGTGAAACTGGGAAGGCCTTCGAGTCACCAGTAATCCTTCCATAAACAAAAAACAATCTTCTAATGGCCCCGCAAACTGTATGTATCTCGTCCCGAATGTGACAATAAGAACGATGATACAGCGTCAAGCTTCAGTCACCGTCCTCGTCGAACCCGTCGATTGCGACGAAGGGCTCGACGAGCGAATTAACCCATAGACACAGCCCACTGAGTTTCTCGCCGGATTTTCTCAGTGGGTCGCGTTTCCGATTCGGTGGTAGATTCTGCGAAGCACTGCTCTTGCTAGGGTCAGTGTTAGCAACACTCCGGTTTGAGCCCCGTGAGTTCACGTACAAACGTTAGGGTGAAGCTGATATAGCCTCAGATCTCAAGGCTATCAGCATAGGTACGAAAAAAAAAGTTTTCGTATCAACATCGACATAATTAAAACTACGTTGTCACGAACGACTAACGTGTTATTCGTCGAAAACTTAATGTTACGCTAATTACCGTCAATTTTTGTTAAAAAAAAATTCTGGACTGTAATGTCTAATTTCCTATATATATTTTATTGCTTAGATTGGTGGACGAGCTCACAGCCCACCTGATGTTAAGTGGTTACTGGAGTCCATAGACATCTACAACGTAAATGCGCCACCCACCTTGAGATATAAGTTCTAAGGTCTCAAGTATAGTTACAACGGCTGCCCCACCCTTCAAACCGAAACGCATTACTGCTTCACGGCAGAAATAAGCAGGGCGGTTTTACATACCCGCGCGGACTCACAAGAGATCCTTACTTAAGTAACTAATAAATAAATAAAATAACTAATCGTATATTATTGGGGTGTGCGAGAAGAAATAATATCGAGGGGTGAAATATTATAAATAAATGAATGAAACGCTATCTAGGTTTACCTAAGCGACATTTCGGTCATTACGCGACATTTATCTTTGTAATTAAAGTTCCGTTTTATGTGGTATTAGCATCAACAATTCAATGTTTTTAATTGAACTTCAATTAAGTTTACCTCATTCAAATAGCTGAAGAAGTTTTTTTTGTTTTAAAGAAGTTTTTTTCCAAATACAGTCAAAACCGTTTACTGCGACATCGTTTAGAACAACATGCCGGTTATAATAACCTAGAACAAAGGTCCCGGCTGAATGCCATATGACTGCCTTATTAAAAATATTTCTTTCTACGACATTGCTTATAACGACATACCTCATAAAACGACCACATTTAACTAATATTTCGGAGAATTAGATCTGTTAGAACGACCGGCTAAGCTGTATTGTAAACAATTTGAATAGGTATCCACATCTGTCTTCAATGGCTATTAAAATCAGGAAAGAAAACAATAGGATTTAGTTTAGTGTAGGGTCTTTTCTAATTCTTAGAAACAAAACACGTGCATGCAATAGAGTCAAAGTCCGCTTCTTCATATCTATTCAGTTAGTTTGTTACTTATCTATACACAAGAAGCACCAAAACTTTGTGGAGTTATTCGTGAAACTTTCAAAATGTCGCAAAAAAAGAAAACAAATTAATATTGAAGAAAAATCGCGTATTATGTAAATTTATTTTTCCAATAATTCCCTATCGATTTGTTTGTACTTGCACGATACACATTAAACATCACCGGTTGTTACGACTATCGGTTTTTACGACTGAATATGAGCAGTCCCTTCGATGTCGTTATAACAGATTTTGACTGTATTAAACTTTAAATGGCTCTCCTATGAAATTGCAAAAATGTCGCTTAAGCCGTATCAATTACATATACCTACATCTCGCGAGAAAATAAAAAGTACTGTATTAACATCGAATTTGTAATCCTGTATAATGAATCTCATAGGCTTCTTAATGTATGAGATACGATTTTAGTGCTCCATTACAATTTAACAAACAAATATGGTAGTGGATGTCTATGTGGTTTACAAATCGTAACGGGAAAATGTTTTAATAAACAACTTCGCTGAATCATAATCAATTATTTGCTCAGCGAAGTTAAACGAGAAACACGGAACATCACGGAATGACGGGAATGTAAGTCTATATTAATAACTAGCTGACCCGGCAGACTTCGTAGTGCCTAACGGCCGTTTTCAATAACGTATCTGAGTTTTCGGATAGATAGCTATCTCCGAATATCAGCAAGAGCGTATCTAGCCTTAGTTTGCGTTTCACAATCACGGATAAGTGCTATCTCTTTTTAACCAACAGTAGATAGCTTCTTCCCTCCGATTTATCCGAGCCTCTTGATACGTTTCGTTCTACTACAAATACGAAACAACATCAGGATCAAGACTTATTTTATTTTATTCTAAATTATAACTATAATTTAACCAGCATATTGTAGACTATCATAAACACATTTGTTTATAACAAAAAGTAATAAAAACATATGTAGATTTTTTTAAATTGGACGTATTGCTATTTTTATCCTAGTCGAAATTATGAAACGAAACGTTTTGACAGTCCGTTTGCCAATAAGCAGTGATCGGTTTCTTTTGTTTGTTTTTCTATTGTTTAC